TACTCAAACTGTTCTCATATAAATTAAACTTCATCGAATCGTTGCTTTATGACCGAAAAGTGGCTTTTGAAATGTTTCATAGGAAAACTTATTTTTAAGTGTGTGAAACTTTAATCTGACAAAATCCATTCAAATCCATTTTAGGCCAACTAGGGGTGATTGAGAATGCTGAGCGCTGATAGTTTGACTCAAGCTCAGATTTCGTCAAATGATCGGACTCTATGGGCATTTTCATGGGTTCTTCCTTATGTAGCCTGACTACGAAGCACTTTTCATTAGAAAGTTCTCCATAAAGGCATCCCTTCCTTTAGGAAAATACACCTTATGTGATTTGGCATAGACAAACAAATGAATTTATAATAAATCTGAATCATAATAGCATGTATTTTTAGTGTGAACTAGTGAATATTAGTACAAACAATTGTTTATAAACTATTGAAAAAAAGCTGAATATTTGCATTAAGACATTTGTAAATTACTTACGCTTTACTTGAACAATTGTGATCAAAGTATTGTTATGTGCGTACGGGTTTGTAATAGAAACCGTACATACGAAACTGATGATATCTTGATAAAATTTATTTTACCAAAAGAAACACTTTACAGTTCTGGAACTTACTTTCTGGAACCATAAAAATACTCGTACATCTCTTCTCAGCATGACAGAGCACAATCAGTAGTACCATTTGAAACTACTGAGGACGTTAAACACATCGCAATGCAAAGAGCATCGAAAAGGCGGGGCTCTCACGGATATCTCGAAACTCCGAATTCAGCTCTGAACTAGCAACTGAGAGCAGATGCTCTCTTCGGCCTTATAAAGTTTTCTACCGGCCGCCGAGATATTTCTAGTACTTCCTGCTTCTCGAAATTACTGGAAGGCAATATGAGAGTCGAATTATGCTTACAGCTAATATAGTGATTAATTACATTTATTCGATTACAATATTTATTACGGTAATACAGGGACAGGACCAAAATGTAGTCAAGTTTGGCGAGTTTTGGTGAATTCTTGCCAAAATTGGAGACAAAAATTAGTCGCCAAAAACCATCTCTACCTAGGCTATATCTCGAAAATTTAGAAAGATACTCAAAGTTAAATGGACTTGTACCTGTACTCTTATTTTTCTTGAAAAGCTTCGCCACTTCTGATTCTCATGTTATAGTATACAAAAGATACTACAATTTTATATATAATTTAACTAAAATCAGTTACATATATACAAAATTCGTAATAGTATAGTATTGTATTAAAGGTGACAACTGTAATTCAAAGTAGTTCACTGAATGTCAAAGAAAGTCTTATTTCTCCGCATAACTTTCCTATTTATACATTTTTATTCTTCTTAGATTTTATTTTAACATTCCACTGCACTTAAGAAAAATTTTGCATTTATGAAGGTAAGCTTAGAAATATTTACTCAACATATGTTAACGGTAATATAAATACCATGAAATAATAAATGCGTATTTTTCAAATACTCGAAAATTGGGAAGTATCTCACTATAATGTAGAAGTTCTCGAAAGTGTATCTGTTTTTTCTTAATACACTTAGTTTACACAGATGCAAAGAAAATACTCTGATGGAAAATGAAATCGCAGTACTAATAAAATTAGTTTACAGAAATGAAATGAAATCAAAGCTTTTGCCTAGGTAATATATTTAATTGATTAATGTTTCAGGATTACAGATCAAAATATGCGCGAGAAATACCATTTTAAATTTGAAAAGACTACATTATGACCGCTCTTGTTGAAACCACAATGTTGAAATACCTGTTGTACTTGGTCCGTCAAATCAACAATAGTGTGTGCTGGTGTATATGACGGATATACGACGGCGTATATGGCTGGTGTATATGGCGTATATGACGCTAGATTTGTTGTCCAATCATGTCTCATAAGTGCTCCAAGGGGGGAAAATATCGAATGATCTCGAAGGCGAAGACAACATGTTAACGTTTTGTAGAGCCCGTTGGATGATAGCAGAGATAAGAGAATAAGAGTTATCCTCTTGCAAAATGCTCTCTGGAATATTACTCAGAAATGGCAGCACAACTTGTGCAATCACCAGTCTCACGTAAACATTTGCTGTCCAGGTTGTGTTATAACGACGAGAGTATTCTAGCTGTCATAGGAAATTGCTCTCCAGACTATAACTCTTGGTGTAGGTCCAATGCGTCTACGCTGCAGTAGTTTACTTCCAAACTCTCACCTGTTCTCCTTCACTGGCACCAACGGTCTCAGCTGAGAGTACAACATACCCCACTTCGCCCTCTAATATGCTCTAGATTGATACCACTTAATTCGCAGATGGCGGTCGTTTTTAAGTTGTATTGCCTTTTAAAATGTCTGTTTCGGAGTTGCCCCTCAAAGTAATTTCTTACCGTTCTCTGTGCCTCTCTTGTGCCAACAAAAGCTGAAATCTCTGCAGCAGATACAGTTCGATAAGCCAAAGACATTCGGAGAATACTGCGACCTTCCTTTGAGTGGTAGCACATGTGCGACAAGACACCGGCCTTCTTCAGATAGTACCTTTCCGTTAAGTTTCTGGAAAGAACCATACTGAAGATCTTTATTTCGATTTTATGTTTATTGATTATTATTTTTTATTACTTATTTCGATCTTTATTGATTTTATTTCATGAAAAAAATAAAAGCACTTAATGACAAACAATATGGCTTCGAGCAGGTAGTTCAACAAAACATGTATTTGCAGATTACATGGCAACAGTAAGGCAAAACATGGAACAAGATCTCTGGCAATAGCAGTAAACATTAGGTCAGCCCTCCACTCTCTGTAGTGGCTTGATGCAATTGCAATCCTAGGAAAGGTAGCTTATCTTACTGTTATAATCACATCACTTCGATCCTACATACAAGATAGAAGAATTCAGGTTACAACTGAGAGTGGAATCTTTACGAAGAATATAAACATAAGATATCCTCAAAGTTCTTGCCTGGGACCAACCCTCTGCAATCCAGTGACCAATACTACTTTCGGATATTTTCAAGATATTGAATATGCATGTACTATTGCATGCGCTTTTAGCTATATAATCAGAGTATCAGAAAGAAGCAACTTAGAAACAATAGCTCAACACTGCCTCCGCATATTTTCACAATAAGCATAAAAATTGGTACTTTTTCCGAGTCATATTGCTATATATATATATATATATATAATGATTTTTAGCAACTATTACTCTGTTAACTCAAAATGATTAATGATTGATTCTATCAACCATTGCTCAGTTAACTGAAAATGAACGAACAAAAAGTATTACAAACATTTAATCTCAAAAACATGATGAAATGAGTTTAAAATGCAACCTATACACATGATGAAATAATATACGTATTTAACAAAAGATTACTTGAGCGTAAGTATTTATAATATGAAAATTAATCACTTAACCTCGAACTGCCACTTATTTTCTGTTATCATTATGCTTTATAACCCACTGCTTTTCATTATGGTTTAAAAATATCACGTATATTTTCTACACTTTTTGTTGCGTATATTTCGTCGTGATTCTATTCCTATTTTTACTGATTCTATTCCTAAACATGTACATTATTAATTTGCAAAAAATTGTGAAACTTTGGATAAACCTCATAAATTTTCCTAGGTTATCCCAAATTCAAAAGGGACTAAGTTGCTTGTAGTATTCAACAACGTTAAAAATCTACTCCTTGATGCTTCTGTTAAATTTATCCAAGAAGAACCATTTACAGTACCAATAATAAATTCAAGACAATAAGCGTACTGTTTACTATTTTCAACCAGGCCTGCAATGAATTTACCCTATTCTTCTGTTTCATTTCTCTTTGTTTGTCGTTTCTTACGCAGGCTAAAACTTCACACTTAAAACTTGTAACTTGTTACACTTCAATTACCATATTCCATCGAGCTTCCGTATATTCCTCTGAAATCCGTAGGTTTGTAAAACAGTACCTCCACCTTATCTTAATAATAGCCTGTGTACCCACGTAAAAAATTTTGATAGAAAAATAAGCTCATTCTCTCTCATTATATCAGCAACAATGGCACACATTTTTTAATTATTTTCGTTATTCTAATCAAATGGGAGTAAAAGCTCAGGTTCCATCCAATATTTCACTTATATTCAATTTTAGTCGATTAAATGCGGCAAAACATTTATCATAATTGATCAGAAATCAATAACGCAAACAAATAAACACAACAGACATTCTTCTTTATATGTATAGATTTTGTAACAAATTTTTTATTAGAAAACTGTACGATTTGAAAGCGAGCAGTAGCAACACTTTCAAAATAAAGCATTTTTATCTCCAACGCGCAAGACTGTTGCCACTCGGAAAAATTAGTGCAAAAATTAGCGCTTTCAGAGTTTTTAATTAATATTTCGGCTGATAAAATCGTAAGAAGATGGGAATAGTCGAAATGGCTTCCCACGGATTTTTGGAATCGGAAATAATGTATTTAATGTTTGGCAATGCTATTTTTATTACATCGTAAAACTTAGAAATTTTTTATTAACAAATTCTGGGATTTGAAAGCGAACAGTGGCAACAACTTCCTAATAAAGCAGATTTTCATCTCCAGCTTGGGTTGTTGCCACTTGGAAAAATGAGGGAGAAAATTATCGCTTTTTCGCTTTCCTAATTAATATCTCTGATTTTAGCTACCTTGTTTGGATAAAAGTGGATATCGACCTCTTCTGGGACCCAGAAAAGAATTTTAGAAAGTCTGGTGACGATATCTATAGTAGTGACTGAGTTATTAGAGGACAAACACACAGACTTCCTTCTTTATATATAAATTATTAAATCTATGAATCCGATAGTAAATTAAGCAAATGTTAAATGATAAAGTATTTATTTGTTTATGATAAATATAATATTTGAAAATTATATGTGGCAACATGTTAGTAAATATTTTACAATAACGAATTAGAATTCGAGTTTGAAATAGCATTCATGATTAGTAAAACTGATGACTGTACATTTTTCATATCCTGATCATCGTCTGAATGCTAAATTTAGAGAAGTTGATAGAGTTTGATCGTTAAACAAAGAAACTGTTCAAAAAGTATGTTAAAAAAACGACATGTTCAAAATCGACAAAAATGAAATGCGGGGCTTAAGCTTATTCATATCGGAAATCCGGAAATGCAACAGCAAAGAATCAGAACTCAGCAGAATTAATAAAGAGCTTGCGAATATACGATCCAAATTCAATGGTACCCGGACACTGAATGGATATAGTAAAAAGAAATACATCTGTAAGTTGCTTTTCATATTTCTTCTTGGTCACGATATCAACATAGGTTTTATAGAAGCGGTTAATCTAATGCAGTCTAATAGATACAGCGAGAAACAAGTGGGTTACTTATTCATTTCTGTAGTCATGAATGAAAAGTCTAATCTCATGAAGCTTATTATAAATTCTGTAAAAGCTGACCTTTTCTCGTACAATACTATTTACCAAAATTTAGCTTTGCAGTTTCTAGCAAATATGACAAACTTATATTTTGCTCAACTTTTTGGTAAGGAAGTTTTGCATCAGTTACTAGCAGCAGATTCAACTGACGCCGTGAAACAGAGTGCATCTCTTTGCTTATCACGTTTTTCTGAATTTCAACCAGATCTTTTCGCTGAACGAGAAATCCAGGTAAGCATAATAAATTTTTTAGCCGATCAACACATGGGTGTAGTCACCTCAGCAGTTAGTTTAATAGAAACATTGGCAAATAAAAATCTCGTTGATACGAAGACTTGCGTTTCCCTTGCCGTTTCAAGGTTGAGCAGAATCACATCCCCAACTTACATCGACCTGCAGGACTACAATTATTATTTTAATTCTGCACCTTGGCTAAGTGTCAAGTTGTTAAGGCTTCTCCAGCAGTTTCCAGCTCCTACGGAAATCTCTGTAAAGACTCGTCTAATAGAATGCCTGGAAAATATTTTAAACAAGGCTCAAGAAGCTACCCCAAAATCAAAAAGAAATGAGCATTTTAACGCCAAACATGCAGTATTTTTCGAAGCTGTTGCTTTAATTTGTCACTTAAGTTACCTGACAGACTTGTTGCTAAAAGCAGCAAAGATTATAAGCCAAATTTTAAAAAAGAAAGAGTCAAATCTGTGCTTTCTAGCCTTAGACTCTCTATGTCTGCTGTCCCACTCGGATGAAGTTCAGGAGATAGTAGCAAAACACTGTTTTAAATGTGTTATCGAGTCTCTAAGTACAGAAACAGATATTTGCATCTTCCAGAGAGCAATTGATTTCCTGTACATTTTCTCTGATTCATCGAATGTTACTGAAGTAGTAGAAGAATTGCTTTACATCCTCGAGAAAAGGAATTTAATACTTAAAGAGGGAGCTCTTTTCAAAATTGCAGTATTGGCTGAGAAATTCACTGAAGATTACACTTGGTATGTAAATGTTATTTTTAAACTAATACTAATTGCTGGTGACGATATAAGTGACGAAGTTTGGTTTAGACTTGTACAAATAGTTATTGAAAATAAGTCAGTGCAAGGGTTTGCAGTTAAAATGGCATTTGAAGCTCTTCACAATTCAAATTGTTGTGAAAATTTGCTGAAATTGTCTGGATACTTACTTGGGGAATTCGGGAATCTGATAGCTGGCGATCCTAGATCGAAACCAGTAACTCAACTGCAGCTGCTGCATTCTTATTACTGTACCTGTTCCTCACCGACAAAAGCTCTTTTGCTGACAACCTATGTAAAATTCACGAATCTGTTTCCAGAACTTAAAAATGAAGTATGGAAAATACTGAATTCTGATTATATTATACGCAGTTGCGACACAGAAATCCAACAAAGAGCAGTTGAATACTTGCAATTAAATAAAACTGCTAGCCCTGAATATATGGCAACTGTTCTGGAAGAAATGCCACCCTTTGTAAAGTCTATATCTACTCTTGAAAGTGTTTTAAACCAAAAAGTGTGTTCCAAAAATTATGCAAAAGGAAGAACCCATTCCGGTTCTGTGAACTCACGCAGGCGAAGCAGTACTTTGACAAATGTAATAACAAATTCAAAACAACTAGAATGTAGACGTATTCAATCTTTGCGTAATTCAAAGATTTCGTCGACAGCTTCAGACATGTTGGTAGATATAAGCAGCGATGTATCTGAGAACGAGTCAACAAAAACAATAGCATCTGCTTCTCAGTGGAATGAGGCAAATTTACAGAAACTCCTATGGCAGCAAAAAGGCACGCTTTATGAAAATGATTCCATATGCATTCTTGTTGAAAGCCATTTCAAGAAACATCAAGGACGATTAAGACTCATCTATAAAAATAAAACAATGCACTCGTTTCAGAATTTTACTTCCAAAGTAATTGCTTCAGAAATTGTAAATCAATGCATCATCGATTTAAAATCTTGCGAACCGATCATTTATTCCGGTTGTTCGATTTATCAAGATATTGAAGTAGAATGTTTAGATGTCTTCACAGACAGGCCTTCTTTCTCAATAGATTTCATATGTAGGGGTATCCCAGAAGAAATAACCATTAAACTTCCTTTAACAATAAATAAATTTTTTGAGCCGTTTTTTATGAAATCCGAAGCATTTTTCACACGATGGAACAATCTGGGGCATCCGCATCTAGAGAAGAAAGTTTTGTTCGCACCTAAGCATCCTATAATAAATCAGCTGACGAGGATGAAGCTTGGTGGATTGAACGTCGCATTGCTGCAAGACGTTGATCACAATTCCGAGAATTTCATTTGTTCTGGTATATTTTATACCAGCACCTATTGCAACGGCTTTTTGATGCGTCTGGAATGGAGCAAAAATAATAATCTATGTTATGTCACGATTCGATCTGGCAAGGAAGTCGTTTCGAAAGAAATATCAAGATTAGTGCAAATTTTACTTTAAACTTCTAACAAAATCATCATTGTTTGAAACATTCAAATTAGCTGCTTAGAGAAGCTAACAAATTTTCCTGGAGTTTGTTGTTGCAACGGACCTCAGCTGACTTAAGAATCTGTCATACTTACTTAGTGACAGATTTAGCAGGATACTGGGGGAAAAAATACTTTAAAACATTTCCGACATATGTCACTGAAACCTTCCTTATGCAAAAGAGCATATTTATTCAATATCATCCTAAGTTTATTGATTGAATATTTTTTCTGCTTTTATAAAATTGTAAGTATTAAAAATTCTTTATGCGAAAATCTTTGTTAAGAAACTGAAAAGTAAACACATTATTTTGCATTTTCTTGGATAGTCATTTTTATAGTTAAGGCTATAAACACTCGTGTGTTTTTAAGTTTTCGTAATCCCGTATATAATAGATTTGAACTCATAATACAGTAGAGACCCATATTTAACTCATAATACAGTAGAGGTTACGTATGTTACCAAAACATGCGATGCATTAACGCGTAGCTCTTTTTCAAAATTGAAACGCCCTTAAAAAATCTTGTAAAAGTTCTTAGGATTTAAAATTATTCATTTTTGTAATTGCAATTAAATGCATTGTGTGTTAAATATCTAATTAAACTACATTTTTCATATTTTTGCCGGTGGAAATTTTTAAATTATCTACTAATGCATATCTTAGTTATGTTTGTTCCATTCGTCTTCATTTTATTTTGAGGAAGTTTTTTATCGAAATGATAATTTTCAGTTAATTATGATTTTGATCTTATCGTTTCTCAAATTTTTTTAGGTATTCTTAAATATTTTGTCTGAAGAGCGTGACAGTTTGAAAGTAAAACTTCCAAATTTTATTGCTATAGTTAAACTTAACATTATATGTTAGCTAAAACAGAAACGTTATGGTAAATACGAAAAATTTTCAATTATGTTATTGAAACAACCTCATCAAAACAATTATGATAATATTCATACGCCTATTTCCTCGAAACATATTTATTTATTTTGCATCCACGCATTGAAATTCATGAATAATTATATTAAAAAGTGTTTCCATTTTATTAATATTAGTAATACCATATCTATGATTGTTACGTAAGGTAGAATTTGTTGCAATATTCCAATACGAATTTGAAATAAGAAAATAAAACAGTGCTGAACAATATAGGAAATAAAACCTTTTTAAAGAAATATGCTCGATGCTTTTCAATTTTGTGTCCTGTTTCGAAAGTACACTTTTTTGAAAATTTACATTTTCTTCGAATACATATATTACCGTTTCTTTACTGTTGAACTATATCTAAAATTTAAAACAGAATATGAATCAAAACGAAAAATGAACTTGGGTGAAAAACATTTGAATACAAGTATCTTTTGAAGTGAAAGAGAAAACTAGCGATAATCGGTTACTAGCTGACTATACTTGGTAGCTAAAGAATGTATGTTGCTTTGAACTTTTTGTCATTTTTATGTATATATATATGTGTGTGTAACCCTAATATAGATATAAACTGTGAATATATAACTGTATATATATATGTACGACTATATATATGGTTATATATTCACAGTATATATACATATATGCATATATACTATAACTGTATATATAGATAGAGTTTATTAGTTATACTATATATATAGTTGTGCTATATAGAGAGATATGTATAATTTATGTATAGTTCTACTATAACTGCGTAGAGACATTAGGTATTTTGGAAGCAGTTTATGTGAAAAATGAGCAATGCCCTCGCAGGGACCCATACCATGAACCTCTCGAATTCGCGTCGAATGTGTTGATCACTACACCACGAAGGCATGCTAAGAAGGCGGGAGAAATACATTATATACTCCCCCCCTTTAAAAGGCTACTGGGGTTTTGGGGGATCCAGTCGCCAAAGCCTGGTGGTGAAGAATCACCATTCACCACCTTTTAGTTCGGGCGCCATTGTAGAGACATTAGGTTATTTCGAAGAAGGAGAAATGAAAAATGTGCAATGCCTTTGCCGGGACTCGAACCACGAACCTCTCGAATTCGTGTCGAGCGTGCTGACCACTACACCCCGAAGGCATGCTAAGAAGATGGGAGAAATACTTTCAACTGTATATGTATATAGTTATACATGTGTATATGCATAGGTATATATATTTACTAAAGAAATATTGATTATATTATCTCCTAATATTAATTTTAGTAGAAGTATCTAAAAAGAGTGAACCCAGAGGTAGGAAGTTTAATCCCGAAAATTGTTTTAAAGTAACTTGAATGTAAATTGTTAAAAATGTTTTACGGGTACTTGAATTTAAATCATGAATAACAAAATTTGAAACTTTGAAAAAGAAACTAAAAATTAAAAACAAGTAATTATTGCTATTGATCGGAAATTAGTTGAACTTTTCAAGGGGAATAAATCAACTCCCGTTCAATGAACAGTAATTATAAATACGAAGGTGTTTCGTCTTTTACTCAAGTAATAATGGTGATGCCAAACTGGCAAAAAAGCATTTTCGCTAATACAAATTTTGAGTGAAAAGCAATTTATGCAGTAAAAATTGATAAAATATTTGAGTGTACATTTGATATAGGTATATATATATATTATATATATATATATATATATTTCTCTATAAACTTTATTATTTGAAATTTATTAATTATGAATTTCAATTTCTGGTCTTTGTGAAACATTAGTTCTAAATTTCAAATTTTTCTGCAGTTTAATGCACGAAAATACTAGGCAAGTTTTTGCTTAGTTTTCAAAAGAATTGTTTTGTAATTATGGAATGCAATAAGCAGCTATTAGCGCTTACACTTTTTTAATAGATTTACAAATTTAGAGAAAAGAACTAACATCACAAAGACAAAGGTTAAAGTTTTCTTCCATAAACTTTATTATTTGAAATTGATTAATTGTGAATTTCAATTTCTAGTCTTTGTGAAATATTAGTTCTAATTTTCTTACTTTATGTATTTTTATATATATATATATATGCTGTGAATATACATAAATATATATATACAGTTATATATTCACACTTTATATCTATACTACAGTTACATATATATATATATGCTGTGAATATATATAACTATATATATACAGTTATATATTTACACTTTATATCTATATTACAGTTACATATATATATATATATATATAAAACTATATCTGTATCGTTCTAAAAGGAATGTTTATAGATCAGAAACCAAAGTAATTTTTTAATACATGCAATCTCCCCGTGAGCCACAAATGTACAACATGGGGCTTACAAAAGTAAGTTAACTAAAGCATTAAATCTTACATGCATAAATAAAATGAACAAATGTAGAGAACAGCAGTCTAGACTTCAGAAAAACAGCTACTAGTCACAAGTCACGCCAAACTAGTATTTCAAACTGTTTTGCCGGCATAATCTAGGTCATCGAAGATAGGGTAGGAAAACGTTATATGTTCCACATCTTTGAGGTACTCTTTTTGAACATTCACATAAGTTACTTGATCTTACATTGAAACGAAGCAGGTAACTTGCAAAATAATTTGAATAAATTCACTAGTTTAAACAAAATTTAAATACATTAATATTCGAAGAATTGGAATATGTTAAATTTAACATATGAACATGTTTTGCATTTTTTATTGGCCGTATTTTGTGCATCTGTGAATTTGTTCTAAAGGCTGTCTTAAGGCTTTTAAAAGTCTTTGCCATTTGAACTTTGAGCACGAAAACGGTAATCTATGCTCACTACTTAACACTGCGTTGCATATGGGAAACTTTGAATAAGCATACTGTTTATTAAATAGGAAAAATATCATGAATTATGATATAAATTATTTTGTAAACATACTTGCAATATATGTGACTATATACACTATGCAATATATGTGACTGATTATTGCACAGCGAATATTTAGCGAATGCTTCACGAAAATTAAATTACAGGTTACAACTTGAGTATGTATAACGGTACAACCAAGTCTATGAACCTTTTCGGTACAATTCCGTTTTGAGAACCGTAAAACTTCGCCAAATTGTTGTTGATTATAATTTAAATGAAAGCTTAATTTCATATAACACAATTTTTATTACTTTAATTTATGAAAAAAAGGCTAAATATACTTGAAATTAAACGGGTGGCATAGAATTTTTGATGTCTTCCAACATAGCAGCAAAAATTTCAGTTTTTTTTTAGTCCAAAGGGATTTGAATCCCGAAGGACTATTAGTTTCGTTTTGGCATTTTGCGTCGGACGGATAAATGTCGGTTCACTTTTCAAACTGTTGCCATAAAATGTTAGAGTCCTGCATTATATTTGAAGAAATTAAATAATGAAAATCTGCGTAAATGTATGTATATTTCTCACATTGTCATAAAATAACGGTACATAGAGTCATCGAATTTTGAATAACGTAATCCTCCAACGAATATGAGCATGTGGAAGACCAAATTTGAAATTTGAAATTTGTTTTATGATCGATTTCCTATTTTTTAAAACTTTGACGAATTTTTGATTAACAAACTCAAGGATTTTCAAAGCGAGCAATGGCAACGTTGTGCAGAAAACACATTTTTATCTCCAGCGCGTGAGTCTCTGTATCGGAAATTCTAAAGATATGCTCGTTTTAAAACTATTTTGCGATATTGCTGTTGCACTGGATCTTATGGTTTAAGTGCGAGGAACATGATATTTAATAAAGAAGGTAACACACAAAATGTTAAAAAACGCCCCTTTGGACGTAATTTAAAATCTGAAAACATTTAAGATTTTTTTTTTTTTTTTCTTTTTTTTTTTTTTTTTTAATTTAATGAAAATTTTCAAGCAGTGATTTACCAAACTATAATAACATTACCAAACGCCATATTTTTTTTTTTTTTTTTTTTTTTTTTTTTTGTGCTAACGTCTGTTTATAAAGTCGGACAAGTAAGAATTGAATTGCTGTCGAGCAGTGCCCCGATGGCGTTTATTACGCCATTTAGCACTGCTCCACAGCCGTTACTGTTTGTGTATGACACCCACTTTCCGGGTCCACAAAATTGTAGTTATGGTTGAATGTAAAGTATTCAAAACCAGCAGCTTGCAGTTCATCCGACTTGTATGATTTCCAGCAGTCAGTATAAATAACGCTTCCTTCTGCGATTCTTATCCTTTATGATGTTCAATAAGGTTTTCGCTCATCGATCTGGAACAGCGACTAAGAAACATTCATTCAATTCTCTGCATAATCCGCCGAAAACCCATTGTGGCAGAAGAACACGTCAAAACATTATTCTTTCTTTTACTGAAAAGGCTTTCGTCTACTTCAATAATTTTGCCACATCCGCCGATTTTCGACTTAGCTCGAGTAATTAAAGTTGCGGCACACACCTCACGCAGCTGTTCCAGTCTACAACCGTATAGTGGCTCATCTTGAGCTGGAGTTCACAAAATTCAACAGATGTCATTTCCCTGACACCAAAAATAGATGAACCTAACGGCTGTAAAGAAGAAGATTTTCGATCCTTCAAACTAATTTTGGTTTTTTAATTTTTTCTTTTCATTACAAGTTTCTTTCCTGCACCGCCATTTCTCTACCGAGTTATCGCGCTAAAGCATAATTTCATCTCATGACTGTTCAAGCA